GCACAATGTGAGGTTTCCACAGCGGTGATTGTGAAGAATTCTGTTTTCTGGGATATAACACCGTGTAGTCCATTCAAAGTCATAAGACGTTTCGGAGGAAAAGTCGCCATCTTCAGGATCGGAAGATAAACCAAGTAAGAAACCGACATGAAGCTCTACTTGCTGCCTGCTCCGAAATTTTGGTTGAATTTCAACGCTCCACACGGTATCATATCCCAGAGGCCAGAACTCTGAATAATACAATTTTCGTATTAAATGTTTCAGCTTTTACATCTGAACCCCGTATTAATATGAAGCTTGTCATTCTAAACTTTTGTAGAAATTCTTGGTATTCGGTTTATATTGGGTATCACCATTTGCTTGCCGGTCACGGTAGCCGAGCGGTCTAAGGCATGCACTGTCTTCGCTCGCTCGGAAGCCGGGATCGTAGGTTCGAATCCCACTCAGGGCATGGATGTTTGTGTGCGTTTTTCTGTGTTTGTGTACAGGTAGAGGCCTTGCGACGAGCTGATCACTCGCCCGGGGAGTCCTACCGCATGTGTAAGATCTAGTAAACCGAAATGAAATGGAGAGTTTCATGGAAGTAGGCCTAGGCCCACTGGGGCTGTAGCGCCACAGGAAAAAAAATCACCATTTGCTTCACTGGTATAATTGACGAACTCCATGAGGTCTACCCGCTTCTCCAATAGGCACTGCTTGCCACCTCCTTCACTATATTTCGCTACTCTGGCTTATTCTTCGACACTGAAGATGGAGGCGACATGTTCCTCCTAAACGTCAGTTGAATTTCAGAGCACCACACCGTGTTAGATAATAAAAGACAGAACTCCTCAAGCTGATATATGGTTCTTTTCTTTTTGAGGTTTATCTCACCGCATTTTCAAAACCTGAGGCCGTTATAGAGTTGAATAGTTGGGCGATCAGTGGATAATGAATTCGAAAGGAACGATCGTGGCCTATTCGATTCACTTCCCCGTATTTTGCTTATAGGACTGAGGACAACCATGAGAAATCTTAGGACTATCAGTGTTCGGTCGAGATTCGAACCAAATCTTCATTCCACCAATTGCCCCACAATCACCCTCACCCATCATCTGGGGCTGGTACAATAGGCTAGAAGTGACCGCAGTACAAGGGATTTAGTCCCACCCCACTAGCATTAAAAAAATTTACCTAACATGAGGCCATATCATTATGTCTATATGAGTTTTTATTGTGGCTGTTCATAAAATACTCTCATACATTATCAAAACTATCAGATAAATCAAGATATGAGCCGGACAGGCGGGGTTTGATCCCCGGCCGGAGCAAATGTTGTTTCTCTACACCACAGCGTCCATACTCGCCCTAGGACACACCTTGCCTATTATTCAATGGGTACTGGGTTCTGTTTCACCTGGGGCAAAGAGGTCGAGTCTTAAAGCCGACCGCTCACTTGCATCTGGTATCGAGGTCAAGAATGGTGGATCTGTACCTCCACTCCCTGTACGTCTTCATGGCGTGCAACTTCACCTTATACCACAGCACTAATGTCGTTTTTGTATTTGGTGCGTTTTCATTATCAATAGGAAGGGAGTGAGGAGCAATTTAAAGCTGTTTAAGTATACAGAGTGTTCTAGGAAGAAAGATCAATATTCTGGGAAGCCATAGTGTCGGTCATTCTAAGCATAAAATTGTATATGTGCATCTGTCCTATTCCGAACTGTTTCCGTGGTGGAGTTATGTCACTGTACAGTAGATTGCATTTGGCACCAAATGTTTCCATTAATACGATTGACTGAAGAAGATACTTCCATCTGTACCGGTATCCGCAACACCTGTAATTCGCATCGATTGCCTCGCGACAATTCACGTGGGACTGTGGAAACAAATTTCCAAAATCGTTTCTCTATCAACGTGTGGTGCGGTATGATCGATGACATGTTGACGGGTCCCGTTATTTTAGACGATCATATGACAGGACATAATTACCCAACTTTCTGCAAAATGGATTGTCAGAACAGGATGTTCCTTCGGCTATTCGGATTCCTATGTACTTTCATCATGACGAAGCCGCTTCTCATTATACCCGACCTGTGAGGCAACTTCTCAATGACACTTTCCCTAAACAGTGGATCGGTCGTGGCAGTACCGTTTAACTGGCCACCACGATCCCCGAACCTCACCCCGCTAAATTTTTGTTTACTTGGTTGGTTGAAGAGTAAAATATACAGAACAAAAGCGGATACATGAGAAGAACTGCTCGATCACCTAATGGATACCATCGCCATCATAAAGGAACGTCAAATGCACTCCGAGCAGCAACATGCCGTGTCCTCACACGAGTTGCAAAGTGTATTGGTGCTGACGGTGGAATTTTCGAAAATGTATTATACTAGGTAAACAGTACCGACTTTGTCATTTGAACAATAAATACCGGTATTAGAAACAGTGCGTAATTCTTATCAACAATTCTGGAACTGTACATTGAAATAGCTCTCTCGGAAACAGTTCGGAATAGGACACGTGTACATATACACTTCTTTGCTTAGAATGGCCGATACTATGAAATCCCAGGATATTGATCTTTCCTCCTGGGACACCTTGTATATTTTCTCTCTGAGAGCGATACGTGTTCCTATATTCTCAAATTATAATGTACTTAATATCTACGTTAAATTTTCTGTACAAGAAACCTCATAAATATGAGTGCCGTCCGTAAAATAAGATTAATTGATTTCTGTTCATGTTGAAATGTTAACTTTACTTTGTATATTGTCTTTGCTGTCTTGTTTCTGTGTGAGCTGTACTGTGTCTTGTTATGGGATATAGAAACTTCATTGGGAGTGCATCTCACGACCATATTGGTTTCCCAGCACAGCCTCCAGATGTCGCATAGAATTCCAACTGGATTCACATATCAAACACATCACAGAACATATTACAAATGCATGAAATAAATCCAGTGCACGTTGTGTCCACCGTCCGTTCTGTAATACCAATGTAATAACAAGAATTTCTGACAAAGATGTATGGCGCCCATTTTCCTTCAAATAATTCTCTATTGTGTGACTACGTTGTTCATGTACAGGGCTACTGAGAATGATTTGGATGATGAGAAATTGGTGTATTTTTGAAAAGGTTACAAGATAAAAATTTGAAGAAAAAACTTGAAGAAAAGAACCAAGGAATTAATTTTGTTTTGTTGTCAACATTGATGTTTGCTCATGTTTGTAATCTTTTCTAAAATGCATTAATATTTTCACCTAAATACTTTAAAATAGCCCAATGTATAGAAGTGCAGAAGTTCAATTCGGTTCTTATTTTGGAGCATATATTAGAACTGTTAGTACGTTACGGATAGGACCGCCAGCCAGCAGCGAGACATAGATCTGGCGGTATTGCCATCTTCTATTGTCCGAAAATATACTCCAGTGTTCTTTAGCGCACACATTCAGAAAACCTTGATTTAATATATAAGAATAGATCAGTGGATGTTTTATCTTGGGAACACTGTAGCTAGAAATTGGAATTATCTATTTCGAAAATTACGTCCCTTTCTTGCTTTTGGGATCATTCAGAAAAATGCGCGGCTGTGCATTAATGCAACGTAAGATTACAAAACGTGTGTGGTGAGATGTGGAGTGTTTGGTAGTGATGGTGAAAGATTAGTTAATTCTCTGTCATTAGATGAAATAGGTTTCTGGCGATAGTAACTGAGGCTTGGAATTGGTGGGTTTCTGAATTTGGTCCATCGTCCGGTATTGCAACACACACATAGTTTCGGGTGCTGAATAACTTTCCGTTCTCAGGTGAAAGGATCAGTAACTGCATTATCACAATTTTTTTCCTTTCATTCCTTTTTTATCTTCTTTTATTATTATTATTATTATTATTATCTCAATATCAGGTTAATTAATGACAGTCTGTTGCATCTGCTCTAGCTGGTTCGGTTGCGGATTTCTTTTTGTCTTCTACCCTGAAGTTGGAAGCGATACGTTCCTCCGAAAGGTTGATTAACACAATTTGTACACGGCGCCACATCCCAGAAGACGGCTTTCTTTATAATTCACTTGCTTAAATCCAGTTTTCCATGTCTTAACCTCATTATATCCAAAGCTAAACATAAATTTTGTCCTGGTGCCATGTTATTGATTTAGGCTGCACGAAATAACTTTAGAATATTTGCCCAGTTTTCGAAATTCTGTTAGTACTTAAATTTTTAGTAGACTTAATTAAGTGGATCTAATATTGCGCCCACCACACAAATTCGCATGGCTGCCATATTGAAATTAAGGACTATAGGGAATTAAAAATTTGCGAAATAGGCGATTAAAATACAATATAAACCGTGCGAATAGGCTCTTGAATAAAATGGCCAGTAAAATAGAACTTAGTGAATAAAAGTTTTACATTTACACAAATGCACTTGGAAAATTCGAAAGACTTCTGTTGTCATGGAACCTACTAAAAGATTAAGAAGATATGCATATCGGTTAAATTACATAAATTTTAGCTCCTAAGTGTGTTTACATTTAAATTATCTAAACTAATTCAATATTAGAGTGCCTTGACGAATTTTAGCCAGGTTGGCAGTTCCTAGTTTGGTCGAAGCCGGTCAAGTAGTTCCCTGTTATATGCGGAAGAACGTAACGAAACTAGATTTACTAGTCCTAGCAATTTTCTTTCGAGACAAGTCTAAAAATTCTAGACAATTTTTATACAATTACTTGCAATACTTTCGCTTAAACCATGTTCACGTTATCGAAACCTTGAAGTCACAATAATTAAATTTTCCCACTCACTGACAAGGGGCTTCCTTTTGTGGCCTATAATGTGTGACACGTATTTTTTTCTTTCCGGTTTCTGGAGGTCAGTAGGGAGGGACACATAGATGTGATAAAGTTTCCAGGACCGGCTGGCTGGGAGAGAAATGTTTGTCGCTATGGTTACAGCGCTTGCGCCCGCTTCAGCCCTTATTTGGTGGAGCTGGTGCTAGGGGTTTGTGCCGTACGGTTTCTCCGAGGGTAGCTGTTGATTGCTGCTGGCTGCACTGTTATAGGGGGCGTCGAGTATGTCCGCTTTCTTGATGTCAACAGTCGCCGATATACACGGGCATGGAAGTATTTCTTGGACAACCCTTTCAAGTATTGAAACGAGTGGACAATAAGTGTTATGTGTTTAACACCGCTCCTCCGATCTCTCAGTGTTCAGTTCTGTGAACGGTACATATACAGAAATAAAGAAAAGAAGTGAAATATAAGGGGTGGGGCACTTATCGTAAGATATATCCGTTGAAAGTTCTAACATTGGCCATACTGCCGTTGCATGCAAAGCTGTGAACTGGCAGACAGCTACAAGTTTTCTTCATAAAACATCAAAGAGCGAAGAAAATATTTCCCCGTCTGCTTATGTGTCTGTGTTAAAGTCGTCGGGAACGTAGTGTGCGGTTCTTACAACCAGAGGGCACTACTGTACACATCACAACTGTGTACTAAATAGAGGTAACACGTACTGACAGAGATGACACTGTTGTTATGCTTGAGATAAAAAAAAAAGACATCCGAATTATGGTGACGTATTTCATTGTGTGCCATTGCGTTCATTCTGAATATTCTGTAAAGTTATGTAATTAATAGATCGACTCACGAACATAAAGAGAACAAAAAGAAGTCACTTTGGATTCATAGTTCAGTGTCTATGATTGTTATTCGTGAATTATTTTCGTGTGGCAGAAGTGAAGACTATAAGTGATGGTTGGTGTGGGAGCAAAACACTTTTATGTAAGGATGTTGATGTCGCAGAATGTTGGTTTTTGGTATTTTGGTAGCCGTGATAAGGAAACGGAGCGGTTCGTGTCACCTGCAGGACGACACAACGGTTATTGATGGCTTGGCGATGTGGTTGGACACACTACCATGACCGCTGACCATACCTTCTAAATCTCTGGCATTCTCATCGCCTGAAGAACATTATCTTCTTCTCCAGGTGCCTCCTCTCTTTGTCTTCTCTGTCCCTCTTCTAATGTCACTGTTCTTGTGCATTCGCTTGGTTGACTGCGGGAGATTGAAGTCCTTCATTGGCCCTTAGCGGTTGACCTTCGACGTTGAAATAGACTGCTAAAGATAACTTCTGTAGCACTAACGATTACCTTCATATTCCTATTTATATGTTAATTATCTAATTTCTGTGGTCTGGTCTCTTATTGAGACTAAACTTCTCTCTGTTTAAATGTAATGTCTTTTACCTACATGTTCTTAAAATAGTCGTTGCTTTTCCTCGAAATAATTGTAATTTATACGTAATTTTGTAATTTAAATTTGACCCGTTTTGATGATATCGGCTGCCAGTTCAGATAATTCACTCGCAGCAAGGATCTCATAAGATTAATAAATATATAGTTCTGCATACAGAAGCAAAAATGTAAGAATTGATTGGAACATGTAAGAAGAATTTCTTCTGGCATATGCGTTAACACCGAGAGCCAGCGCCAAAACCTGCAGATCAATCTTTTAGCTTTTCTTTTTTTTTTTGATCAAGATGTTTTATGACAGTATAATCCTCTTTGTCATCATAGTGCCAGACTGTTCACGCTTTCAAAACATATAGGACAGGGACCTAGAGAAGCATTTTCTTAAGCAGAAGCAACACGTCATCTCACCCTTCACAGCGTCCTTCTGAACGCAAATTCCCTTGTCATTATATTTACCTTCAAGAGACAGTTCCTACCCCCCCAAAAAACTTTTCCTCTTCATCGATCCAACATTTTCCCTTACTTCTCACCCTTCCTACTCTGCATCCCTTTCCGCTGCGGAACATCTTAACCCACTTAATCAGCTCTCTCTCCCTCCTTGCCTCTGTCACCCCCACAACTTTATTGCCACCTTTCCCTGTACGAAGCATCACATTTCTCTCATGTTTCCGCCGCTGCTGTCACAAATTTCCCTCCTTTAACATGGTAACTTCCATGTCTTCCATCATACCCACTTCCTGTGCCGCCCCCCTCCTGTTCTCGTCATGTCAGCGGTGCGAATTAGGTCAACAAGTTCAGTAGGGGTTTGAAACGTCTGCAGAAAGCACAGAACACGGCCCCTGAGCGCACAGAGGCATCGGTTTGTTCGATCAACGTAGTTATTTCGCGTGAGGAGAGAGAGATTCGACGTAGGGACTATGACTTCTGGATTGGGCTGCGTCACGGTATTCGTGATGCTACTGACGGTTACTATGGTGACAACACTCAGGTCTTCTTGGTTGGGTGTGACCGCCTCTGCTGCATCAACGGCTACCAACCTGTCATCTGCAGCGTCAGCAGGGAGAGGTAGCAGTTCCGGTAGCCATCATCACCACCAGAAACACAAAGAAGGAAATGTCACTATAGGACTTATATTGCCACATACGAACTTCGGAGTGCGGGATTACATAAGAGCGATCAAAGGAGCAGTGGAGAAACTGACAAAGTCACGTGGCCCTAAACTTGATTTCTTGAAGAAGTACAGGTTCTCACCATCCGAAGTGCACAGTGTTATGATGACTCTGACCCCTAGCCCTACCGGTGAGTACACAATGCAGTCTTTTTAAGGATACTGAAGATAAGTGCAGGAATCCCTCGAGAACCGCGGTTTTATCAAACACGGATTTAAGATACATGCTGCTTCCATTTATGATCATGTTTATCAACCATTATATTTAGTTTCGTGTGACCTCAATTTTTAAATTTGTATATGTAAAGCGGCCAGGACTTGAAACTGACTACTCACCTCCAACTAGTACCGAGCCGAAGAAAAATGTGGATCTATACATTCACTCCCCCATACGTCTTCATGGCGTAGTGCTTAAATTAGTTAAACACAGGGACAACTTTATCTTTACCATGAATCATGACAGTAGTTATTAATAGGCAATTATGAATTATATCACAGATATTAATTCTTATTCCCAGTTGTTTCTTTCGTTTAATCAGCCTGCTGTTATTCATAATAATGTGATTATTCACTTCTACTGTAACATGTACACATGATTACCGCACGAAGAGAACCATATTCGTTGGATCGCTGGACTGTAATGGAGTACACAAACAGTTCTCTACCTTACAGATTACCGAGGTGCAACCTACTGTGCCGCTGTTACTAGTAAAGATAAAGGTAATATGAAGACGTAAGGGGAAGTTGAGTTATATTTCCACGATTCTTGACTTCGGTGCTAGGTGGATATGAGTGGTCAAAATCGCACCCCCCATCCCCACTGGCATCTTTGTCCTCACGGAAGGGCCGGGAGTGCCCTTGAATATGAGGCTGGGTGGACCTCAGAGCCGGTCTTGGCGCTATGAGCAAGAGAAGAATTTTTTTCTCTTCTGTCCAGTCCAAATCCCACTGCTATACGGACTGAGCTATGCCAACTCCTTTAACATTATATTGTATATGCAGTATGACATATATTTGTAGAAATTTTATTGCACATCTTTTTGTGTAGTAAAGGAAATCTTAGTTGATGCAGCTGTTGTGCTTCGATCTGGAAGAGTGGGGTTCGATTGCCGGGAAGGGCAAACTATTTGTTTCTTCTGCATACTGTCCAGTTCGACACTGGTACCCACCCAACTTCATATTCAGTTAGTATCGTGGTTCCTTACTCAGGGGTGAAACGGCAGGAGCGTGAAGCTGAACACTAGCCTAAATTTAGTCCTAAAGAATGTTATAAGTATAATTCCACTCCTTCACATTCTTTCATGTCGTGGTGCTTAATTACGTAATAAATATAGGGATAATTTTACATTTACCAGGGAAATTAAAATTTTCTTTGTTTAGATTTCGATGAATGCTATGAGAGGCCGTAATTACCTGACCGACAGTTTCTCGCCATCCGCAGCACCGTTCGGATGTTTAACCCCGCATTCCCCAGGGATTGCTGTGGTAAGGTATGCTGAAACTCGACCATAATATGGACATTGTACACTGTCTTCGGCCTTCTCACACATGACATTTCGAAAGCCGGATCTCTTTCCATCATCATGTGTAAAGGGGGAAATGTTCCCGCTCACAGCCGTTACAAATAGGTAATTCCAATTATTGGACCAGTAATCTGGAGTAGCTCTTCCTAACGGGCCAACATTTTATTGGACTAGTAATCGGAAGTAGCTCTTTCTAACGGGCCAACATTTTATGGGACCAGTAATCTGGAGTAGCTCTTTCTAACGGGCCAACTTTTTACTGGACCAGTGATCGGAAGTAGCTCTTTCTAACGGGCCAACTGTTTATTTGACTAGTAATCGGGAGTAGCTCTTTCTAACGGGCCAACTTTTTATTGGACTAGTAATCGGGAGTAGCTCTTTCTAACGGGCCAACTTTTTACTGGACCAGTAATCGGAAGTAGCTCTTTCTAATGGGCCAACATTTTATTGGACCAGTAATCTGGAGTAGCTCTTTCTAACGGGTCAACTCATCTCTCAACCTGTAATCGGGAGTACTGGCTCTTTCCAATAGGCTGACTCGTCACTGGACAAGCCATCTGGACTAGCATTTTAATGGACCATCTCATCATTGTCCAGATATGGTGTTTAACTCGTTCAACGGTCCATCTTTTCGCTTGGTCACAAATCGGAACCACCTTTTTCTAACGGCGCCACCTCTCTTTCGCCTTCAGAAAAAGCTAGTCCTAATCACTGGTGTTTGTAACGTCCCAAGCTGAATAGAAAACATTCCTCCCTTATACCTTTAGAGCTAGTCTCAGTGACTGGTCTCTCTATCGGCCTCCCTTGTCCCGTTAGAAAGAGCTAGTCTCAGTAACTGGTGTTTCTATCGGCCTCCCTTGTACCGTTAGAAAGCGCTAGTCTCAGTAACTGGTGTTTCTATCGGCCTCCCTTGTACCGTTAGAAAGAGCTAATCTCAGTCACTGGTGTTTCTAACGGCCCCAGCTGAATAGAAACTTTTCTTCCCTAATATAGTTAGAGAGAGCTAGTCTCAGTCACTGATGTTTCTAACGGCCCAAGCTGAATAGAAACCTTACCTCTCTCTGGCCGTTAGAAATATCTAGTCTGAGTCAATGGTGTTCCTAACGACACAGTTCCATATGGAACTTCTGTCCCTTACACGCGTTCAGAGAAACACGTCCAGCATCCGAAACATTGCATTAAGAATCTTAAGGCAGTAGACAATATCCGAACTAATAGTCATGCGTATTGTTGCGAAATTTTGTCAGGAACATTTGCAATTCGCGTGAAGATCTCTTACGTTAAAAACTAGACACGTGCCGCCACTCGCCGCTCGTCTTCACAGGAGTGACTGTCCGACCCGCAGACACTTACAAATCCCACGGATTATCAGCATTTTGTATCCCTGTTACAACAAAAGCCTTTACACGTGCTGTGATGACAGGAACAAATGACACATAACTTACCCCATTACGTATATATCTCTGTTATATAATTTGTTTAGGCCTTATTAACGCGATTTAAATCAGCACATTTAAATGTGTTTCATTTACATTACTGTCTGGCCGTGCCACAGCTCAGGTGTTAGTCGCCGGCTTCCCACCGTGGCGACCTGGGTTCGAGCTCTATCAGGTCTTTCTAGATTTGTGGTGGACGAAGTGGCACTGATGCGTTTTCTCCAAGTATTTCAGTTTACCCTGCCAATTCTCANTCCTAACGACACAGTTCCATATGGAACTTCTGTCCCTTACACGCGTTCAGAGAAACACGTCCAGCATCCGAAACATTGCATTAAGAATCTTAAGGCAGTAGACAATATCCGAACTAATAGTCATGCGTGTTGTTGCGAAATTTTGTCAGGAACATTTGCAATTCGCGTGAAGATCTCTTACGTTAAAAACTAGACACGTGCCGCCACTCGCCGCTCGTCTTCACAGGAGTGACTGTCCGACCCGCAGACACTTACAAATCCCACGGATTATCAGCATTTTGTATCCCTGTTACAACAAAAGCCTTTACACGTGCTGTGATGACAGGAACAAATGACACATAACTTACCCCATTACGTATATATCTCTGTTATATAATTTGTTTAGGCCTTATTAACGCGATTTAAATCAGCACATTTAAATGTGTTTCATTTACATTACTGTCTGGCCGTGCCACAGCTCAGGTGTTAGTCGCCGGCTTCCCACCGTGGCGCCCCGGGTTCGAGCTCTATCAGGTCTTTCTAGATTTGTGGTGGACGAAGTGGCACTGAGACGTTTTCTCCAAGTATTTCAGTTTACTCTGCCAATTCTCATTCCACTGACTGCTTCTCATCGATTTCCTGTCAGCCGGGGCTGGTACAATAGGCGAATTAGTGGCCGACGTACCAAGTGGGCTCAGTTTCACCCCACACCAAGAATATAAAAGAATTAAAAATATATTACTCCCTTCGATGATGTAATGCTGTGTAATCCGGTAGATTTTCGCCATGTTTCGAAGGAATATTTTCCTTTCAGCTTCAGTGTAGAACACAAGAGGGGAAAATATTCGGGGAGGGAGAGCCTGACTAGAAACCACAACGGAACCAACAGGGCTAAGGAAAAATATCGACCTTTGTAAGTGACGAATCTATTGCCAGAATAGAAAGATGGCAAATAAATTGCTCTGAGACACTAATAGACAGTGCAGAGAGGCGAGGAGAGATTCCATCTCTACTTTTCTATTTGTATGTTTCACCGGAAAATATGTGATCACACATCAGGCTACACGGCGTCACATCCAAATTAACCGGAGTTAGATCCTCACGATCTGGAGGTCCTCACAACGGTCTGTATGAAGCTCTGTATCTTATGGGATATAACACCGTGTAATAAGTTTAACACCAACCGACTTTTCGATAGAACATATCGCCTCCATCTTCAGGGTCAAAGAATAAACGAAGCAAGAAACCAGCATGAAGTACATAACAAACATAACTCATTATTTCCTATATAAAGCAGAGCTGTCCACAAACGGACTTCTCTCTTTGCTACCTAGTTCTTGCTGGTTTCTTCCTTCGCTTATTCTTTGAACCTGAAGACGGAGAATATTATTCCTCCGAAAAGCCGATTGATTTTTAAAGGACTACACGGTGTTTTGTACCAGAAGATAAAACTCTTCATATTTCAAATGAACTACGTTTAGACTATCAAGGTATTAAGTGGCGAAGTAAAGTTGATAAAAGATTTGTTTCTATTTCGTTAATTCTTATAGTAAAAGTCTTGCAACGGAGTTAGTTGTACCACGTCTCAAGTGGATAGTAAATCTGAGAGTACTTATGTTAAATCAGCCATTATACCTTCTATATACAGGGCGAGTCTTAGTTTCACGCCTTTAACACACACATCGTGTTCTAAGCATACAGAAAAGCATAAACAGTCATGTAAATATATTGTAACGGATCTGATCAACACGCTTGCTAGACAACAGCTTTGTAAACACCGTCCAACACATAACAATAGAGGAGGCTGTGTTTTCCGTGTCCGACGTAACGTCACTCAACGGTAGGTGGTGGTCACGTGACATGTGTTTCCTGTGATGCGCGCCCGTTCATCGGTTGTATGAATGACAAAATTCGTAAAATTTAGGGCAGTTACGAGTCA